TCCCAAGGGGATGTAAAAATGCACTAATGCCTAAGCCTGTGAGTGCCACTGTCCGTAAGAACGTTTTGGGAAGCTTGAGCACAAGTGGATCCTTCCGTCCGAAGTCGAGGTCAGTTGGAACCTGCCAGTCCAGGTAGAAGGGGGTTTCCGAGGGAGTCTCTAACAGGTTACCATGCAGCCTTTTCTAGAAAATTCAGACCGAAAATTTTGTTCTCTACAATTAAAAAAAAAAACCCATTTGACTACCTGCCAATAGATTGTGTATGCCATATAAGTTAATTAATAATTTGGGGTTTACCATTAGTTACCGCATTATTATTTATGCATTAGTTACTACATGAGCAACTTTGCCTTGTTTAGAGCATCTTAGGATGGAAGAGCTTGAAGGACGTTAGAGATCATCTGGTTTAATCCTTTCATTTTACAGATGAGAAATCTGTGGGCTTGTGAGTTTATGTGAGTAATTTGCTTGAGGGTCCATAACCGCAAATGTAATTTCTACTGGACTTGCTGTCTACAGGCTCTCAGAAAGAATGGCTTATGAGGAACCGTTCTCAAACCACAATTACTTTAGTCTCTTGCAACATGTAATTGGTTTATATCCAAACACTCTACTAGGAGGTAAATCATTTAGTTTCCGGGGGTTACATTATGAAACAAATTTCTCCTGAGGAATTTATTAGGAAGTTCCATGGAATAAAGTTAGCCATTTTATGAGTGCATAATTGAAATTGTTTCATGACCTCAACATGCGATTGGTAGCAAATGCTTCGAAAACTTTCAGGGCAAAATGATCATGGCTGTATTCTGTGATACAGAACATCGGAGCTTCAGTGTCTCATTTTTCTAGGTAAAAGCTTACCCTGGACTGTTTTCTGAGGAAAATATTGACTCCTTCTCCAAGTGCTCCTTTTTAAAAAGGTAGAGTGATTCACTGTACAGATTTCAGTTGACTAATTTTTGATGAAAACAATTTCAGCTCATTTTCTATGTGAAAAAATAAGAATTTGTGCTCCATATTCTCATCAGAGAACTTCAGATCTTTAGCTGTCAGACACTTATGAAAATCTTGGCAATGAGAAATATGTATAATTGAACTTAGCATGTAGTCCATTTGTCACTTTACAAATTCTGAGAGTGATAATAATAAAAATAGAAGTTATTAAGTATATACCATGTGCCAGTTACTGAGTCGAGTTCTTTCATGTCTTGTTTCATTTAATCACAACCAGTGGTCCCCCAGGTTCAACCTGCATCCAGTCACCTGAAGGCCGGTTAAAACACAAGTTGTTTCTGTTTCAGTAGGGGCCTGAGAATCTACATTTCTAACAAATCACGTGCATTTCCTAGGTGATGCGGATGCTGCTGTGTGAGGATCGTGTTTTTAGAAACACTGCCTGCCACAAATCTAGAAGGTAAGCATTTCAGTCTGTATTTTTTACAAATGAAGAAACAGGAATTGAGGTTACATAGCTTGCTCAACACACAGCAAATAATTGGCAGAGATGGGATTTGAAAATTTGCCTCTTTGATTCCAAAGTTTATAGTCTAAATTTCTGTGCTCGGGGTTTTGCAATAAGACTTTCTGTCTGGGCAGCATCATAATAGTAACATTTTAGGGCCCAGTGATGGGATAGGACTCGATTGCTCCCAACACTGAGGTTCAAATATATTAAAAAACGTGGATGTTGTGAGGCGGTTCTAATCAAAGCCAGCCTGTTGGGTAGAATAATATGGCCCCTTAGAGGGAATTTCTCGTGAAGGTAGAAATAGACTAGATGGGTGAGCAGCAGAGGGACAAAGGGGCATCGTGCTTCCGGGTCGGCAAGGTTTGCAGCAGTGGGATTGGCCTTCCCCAGCCCCTTGCTGGTTCGGGGTTAGTAAGAAGCACAGGGGTCGGTAAGATCCTTGTCACCATGAGACTGCATAGGTGAGGAAAAGAGCTCAATTATGTAAGCGGCGTAAGACTTGGAGTCATGATGAGCCACTTTATTGCCTACCATGAAAACTAAATGAATGAAAGCAGCACCTCATGCTCACTTCTGTGGAATGCTACCCCCGAGGCCAATAATGACCTTCCAGTTTTACCAGCTTACAGTCTGCTAAAGGCCAGCTTCAATGGCAGTGGGCACAGGAAGTTTCTGAGACAGTTGGGATGGGAGTGTGAGATGGGGTGGAGGGCCAGAGCTGTCCTGGAACGAGGCAGGCGGGTGGCCCGAGTGCCCTCTCAGGGCACCAGCAGGCCGAAGGGAGAAGAGGACTGACTTAGGGACACTGATGTCCCCAGAGCCGTTGTATTTCAGGGTGTGAAAGGGGGTCATTTTGTGCTCACTTGACTCCCAGGTTGATGAAAACTGCCATTCGGCAGTCATGTAACCTTTGATCCTTGAACCAGGGCAAGAGCTCTGGCCCCTGAAGCTAACCCTGCTTTGGTGCCTGGCGCTGCCTTCGGTGCCCTCTTTGTGAGTGGCCTTCTTCTGAGCAGCCAGGATGAGTCCACATGTGAACGGTCAGTGTCAAGTCTGACCACGCTTCCTTCTTTGCTTTGGCTGCTAGAGTCTGCGTCAGACATAGCAATTGAGAGAGATCTTCCATCATGTATTTTTGGACTATTTTTATCATTTTTTCCTTTGTACATTTATGTACTTTTCTCCTGCTATGCATTTTCCGAACCCGTTAACCTTTCTGAAAGAAGGGAGAGGGAGTATGTACAGAAATGGTTAAAAAAAAAAAAGAGTAGAAAAGAGGTAGAGGAGAGAATGGAAGGAAAGTTAGCCCATTTTACAGAGGACATTTACACAGAAAAGCTTAAGATGTAAATAACCCACTTCTGACTTGAGTTGAGGTGACTGATCCTAAATTTAACTTGAAGTATAGATGTTAGTAGCAAAAATCTCCATTCCCTAATTAACTGCTGTTTCTCAAAATACAAATCAGTGATGAGCACTGTGTAAACTGAACCAAACTGAGTCAATGGGAAAGCAATGATTGCTAAGATTCTGGGGTTTACTCTCAAAGAAAAGGAGATATGAATTTCCTATGATATTACTGTCCAAAAGGGGCAACATTTCTTAGGGCAAACACATGTTAGAGTGCCAAGCCTGAACCATTGATAGATTGTTTGCAGAAATTAGAATGCTGTTAGCAGCTATGGGGTTTGCTGAAACTCAGCTTTAGGCATCCTAGGAGTTAGGGGACACTAAATCCCTGTCCTTCAGTTCAGCTAGGTTAGCAAGTAACTGCAATTCAAGGCGATACATGCGGCAGCTGAGTTGCATGTATATAGGTGAATGATTAATTCTGGCCGAGGGAGCCCAGGATAACTTCGTAGAGGAGGGAAACTCTGAACTTACTTTTAAAAAGTGAGGGTCTTCGGGTAGAGTTGAATAGAGGAAACTACATACATAAGGCAAGCAGGCATCCAGGTATACGGTTGCTGGGACTAGGTCCTACCGTTCGTTTAAGACAACTGCACTGGAACGCAGGACAGGCAGAAACATGTACCCATGGCTCCCAGAAGTCGCTGATAATAGTAGCCCATCCTCTTTCACCTCGTAATTAATCATTTGTGTTCTTCCCACAAATTGGAGCTTCCTCTATAGCCTTCCTTCCTTGTACCCCCTCTTAAGTTCTCTTACTACTCACTTTTTTTTTTTGGCTGAGTTCTGTGTTATAATCTACAAACTAGATGCTAATTTAAATGTATCAGGGGTCATCCAAGTGAAATGGGATGGTCTCTGGGGCTTTGTCTGCCAAGATTACTGGAGATGTTAACTCTGGGACATCTATCTTTTGGAAATACCGCTGAGCAACTTTTAGAATTCAGATACTTCTCTAAAAATACTTCCCTCATGCACGAATCAATTCTATATTCTCACCCTGGGGGGGCCACCGGGGCTTAGAAAATCACCGTCACCTTTACTGGGCTGCACCTCCGTTGTCAGGCTCTCACAGGTGGAAGACAAGCTGTCCCAAGCACAAAAGCAGCTGTAGGCCAAGGCGGAGTTTCGACTAGAAGGCGAAGTTCGGCGTGGCTGACAGGCAGGCCCAGTTGGCCGTGGTAGCACAGTACGACTCCCACTTCGGCACACTGCTGAAATGCTCCCCTGGCCACCCTGCCTAGTTTTATCTGGTTAGGTTCCTTGAATACCCAAGTGTGGGAAAATGAGGCAGATCCTTTAAAAACTAGATTTTCTAGGTACAGTAGGACGTACCAGGTCACGTCCACTTACTGCGACAGCTTTCAAGGCAGGTTTATCTGGCAGCGGCAGCGGTGTTTGCTGAGGCTGTAACAGTGACCGCTCCAGCACACTCGGCTGGACGTCCTAGTGAGTCACCAACTACTGAGCACTTTGCCCGTCATTTGGCTGATTTTTCAACCCTACAGTTTGTACTATTCTCATCCTAGAGATGAACAAACAGGCTCAAAAAGGCTGACCGACAAAATGCTAGAAACCAAGTGGGAGGGCCAATGTTCTACCTCCCAGATTCCGCTTTCCCCATCACGTTCACGCCCCCTGAAGCTGACAGTAAGCCCGCGTCAAAGTCATCATGAGGTTCCAGTCTACTTGGGGTGGCTCTCCTACCATGTCAGCGAAAGTGAACAGGTGTTGGTGCTTCGAGGAGACGAATGAAGGCCGGGGGAAAGCTAGCGCTGCAAACGCTCGGAATTATCACACGACACGCAGCGCAGAGGGTAGGACAGTAAATGATGTCATGTCGGGGTAACTTAAGACCGATCTTGGTTTTAATTTTGCTGGGTCTTTTATCTTCCTTGTCCTTTATTTCTAAACTGAAGGTTCTAACAACATTCAGTTGGGAGCCCTCCAAGAAATAGTATTCTTTCTTATACCGTCGATAAAAGTGTAAACTGGTACGTTTTCTAAGGGGTAAAGCGGCAGGAACAATAGCTTTTTGTGAACTGGCATACTCGCCACCAGCAATTCTACTTCCAAGTATTCATCCTAAGGAAATATTTAGACCACAGATGTAACAACACATTGTTCTTTAAAGCAGTTTATTAGTGAAAAATTGGAAACAACCTAGAAACAGTAGTTTAATAAAATGTGGCACATACGACAAGACGCCATGCAGCCATTAAAAGAGATACAGAAATATGTTTGACATGGCAGGATAGTCATGGTACTGTCACGTGAAAAAGGTTACAAAACAGTATGTACAACTTGACCCCATTTTAAAAAAACCTATAAATGCACAAAGAATCTGGAAGTCTATACACTTAAGTAACAGCAGTTCTCCCTGGATGGTGGAATTACAGGTGATTTTTATCTTTTAAACTGTATTTTATTTTTTTTACCCTTTTTATCAACATATCTATGCCTTGTATTATTAAAAAAGAAAACATTAGCAATGCTTAAAAAGTCTCCTCTGAAGTAGGGAGAGTGGAGCTTAGCAACCTGAGGCACAAGGATGTACATGTTAGTCTGGCACAGCTTAAATGGCTTGTCAGGGGGCTCTGATGTCAAATCGTCCCTGTGCCGAGTGAAAGCGTGGCTGGTGGTGGTGCTTACCCTTCTGCAGACTAAGGGATTCATCCCTAGAAACCTCCACAGCAACCAGGTGCTGGCATTCCAAGCAGTGTTTTCCTCACTTACACGAAGCGTGCCTTGTACCTTCACGTCCACGTGTAACACAGGCCCAGCAAGGCTGCTGTACACCTGCGAGCAGTGTTGCTGGTGACGGCAGAGGCAGGGAGCATTTCCCAAGTGATGTCAAATAGCAGGCCTGAAGGTAAGTTACATTTTCTTTGTTCTACTGAAGTGAGTCTCAAACTTGAGACTAACCATCACCTCAATGGCTTGTAAAGACAGAATGCTGGGTCTTATCCCCAGAGTTTGAGTCAGCAGATCTTGGATAAGGCTTAAGAATTGCATTTTTCTCTCTGACAAATCTTTATTGAGGACATACTATGTATTAGGTCTTGTACTAAGAGTTTGGAATTTAACTGTGATCACAAGAATTAGAGCCTCAATCTCAGGGAATGTACATTCTAGAGTGACCAATATATACTAAAAAAGTTATTGAAAGTAATTATATGATCAGTGCTAGAACACAGTAAAGATCAGAATTCAGTTTTTATGCTGAAATATTCTTAAAAATGTTACACAGAAGACCTAAGACTAGTTCTATAGCCCTTTGAAAGGATAGTAAGTACATGAAAAGGTACATAGTACTTGGAAATACAAATCAGCATTTTTAACAGGCTCCTAAGTGATGCTGACATTGCCCTGTCTTGGGGGTCTCACACTGAGAACACTTCCCTGCTGAGCAGGCTTCCCCATTAGGAGGATGCGGGAGAAGTGACAGTGTGCGTAGAACTTCCCCTCCCCCAGCTGAGTCTCACCGAGAGGTCAGAGCCACTTTATCACCTGGAGGAAGGGCGGAGGCAAAGCTGGCTGTAGGTCAGACTGCAAAGTCATCTATCACTGTGGCTCCTCGCCCAGACTCGAGATGCCACGTGCCAGGGCAATGTGTTTCAGACTTCCAGGTGTTTGAGGACTAGGCAAGGTATTTTGGAGGAATCCTGTCAGCACAGCAATGGAGACAAGCTGGGCCCCTCTGTCTCTGGGCAGACAGAGCCGCGGCCTCTTGCCCTGTGCGCCTTCACTGTCTCCAGTGTTTCAGAAATGTCCTCCCATCACCAGGTCCTCACTCACATCCTGTTCCTGTTTCAGCGGAGGACGACAGCAGACTACGAAGACGCACTCCAACCCACTGCGACCCTGGCCTCACATTTCTTATTTCTCATGTTACCAGAGTGAGGCACATCCCCACTTCTGGGACCCAATCTCCTACAGTATGTATCCTTCTGATTAGCACCATAAAAGACAACTTAACGCAATGACCTCTTAGGTTAATTACTTTGAGGACAGATGTAGAGACAATCCAATCACTTTTTTCTGTTTGTAAAAGGTCTACAATCATCTCCAGGTCTACTATTTCGTTCCTATGTGCATCCTTCAAGTTACTATACCTTTAGATTAAGCTCAGGGGCACAGAGTTTATGTAAATAATTCTGAATTGCACCATGAATTAATAGGCTTCCCAAGCTTTTCTTCCATGCCTAAGAACCTATGGGCCTTTACCTGAGTAGAAATTAAGCCTATGACTTTATAAAATAAGTCCAAAATCAAAATAAAATAAACCCCAACCCCCCCAACAAACAAAACCTCATTAAAATAAAAAGCAATAAACATAAGAACGAGCCCACATGTTGTGGTGGATTTGTGGCAGACAAAGGCAGAAAAACCTTTGAACCCTAGCATTCTCGAAGACTACTGTACATCACTGGGTAACCATAATCAACATTCATTTGATAGAAAGCAGAAGGTTCTGATAAAAATATACACTGACTGGTGAGGTTAAACCTAGATCTGGGTCTGATTTTAAAGAGGGTGAAAGATAGGACTGGTAAGTAGAACAGAGCATGGATATAAAAGAGGTATCTCTAGTACACAGTCTTACACAAGGCCTGCAGTCTGGATAGGTGTTAACCAGGGAAACACACTTACAGGATGCTTCTACTCTGTGACAAGCCTTTCCCTAAAAATTACCTAACATACAAGATAACATCTGCTATAAAAGCCTCACAGTAACCTTAAGGTGGCATAATTATTAATCCCATTTTACTAATAAGATAATGGCAGTTTATATGACGTCTTGAGTTGAAGCTCAAAGGGCACAGTATGTGAGGAAGAGTGGATTTGAACCCAGGACAATTTCACTCCAACACCCACACTCTTTCCCTTTTGCTAAGCCTACTTTCTAGCTGCTGTTAAAGTTGACCTGAATGTTTTGTACGATCTTTTAAAACCTAAGTCTGGACTTACACAACTTAATAAATGGTCCCCTAAGCTGGCTAGAGCTTCCTTTTTGGGGAAAAAAGCTTCACTCAAGTGGTTCTCTAAGTAACTAAGCAGCCTGAGCAGCTCTGAGGGCTAACAGTATGGAAATTCATAGCGTGAGTCAAAGCACCTCGTATAGCTATTAAATTGCAGAGGCGTTCGTCTCATAGCACAGAAGTAAAAGGGTAACAATTACTGTAAAAATGTAGATTGTAAATTATCAACCTGTTTACCAAGCTCTTACTAGGAACTCTTAAACACCATTTTAAAACATCCTTTTGTGTTAAGGATTCATTTTTTTAAAGTGCCAAAAAATACCATTTTGACACATTAACACTCCCTGAAGAAACGCACTACACCTTTACGCTTCCTGTACAAGCCAGACTGAGCCGCTTTAGTCGTCAGAGTGCGCTCCGCTCTTAGCTCCAGGCCCAGCACATCTTCTTCCTCTGCCTGGAAGGAACACTTCCTTTCCAAAGCATCTCCCACTCTTCAAAACTGAATTACGTGACTCTCAAAGCTCCCAAACACAGTATCCTATATTTCTTCTATCATGACACTAATTCTGTTCAATGACCATCACTTACCCATTTTTCTGTATCCTCCACTAGTCTCTAAGGTCTGCAAGGGAAAGGAGTGTGTGCATCTTGTTCAGGGGAGTATCACCAGTTGATCAGCATAGTGCCTGGCCCTCAACCAGTGTTTGATGAGTGAATGGAAATGAGAGCTGAAATCCTGACACAGAAACAATCTGCTGATGGCAATGGTCCAAACAGCAATTCTCTGATTCCAAGTATGTCACTAATTATTACATCAGTGTGTGTTTCATAACTACAGAGCCTGTTCAAGATAACCTAAATTCATTGACAAATTCTCAGAATTTTATTAGTAGGCTCAGAGTAACCAAAAGTGTATTATTTTCTTTGCAGTTTACTCTATAATGAACACAGTTGCACTAATCCATATTTCTATTATTTTTACAAGGATTTGTTGTTCAATAAGAACAAATTCTCTTTACCCTACTGCAGTATCTTCTTAACAGATCCAATTCTGATTATGCATTAAACTGTGCTAACTGAAACAATCTTAAAAAACTTGACTGTTTTAGCGGACTCAACTTGTCCCAGATAGTTCAGAATCTTAACTGCAAATATACTAGAGAAATATGGTAATACTTGTTGAGGGCTGTTCTTAAATTTAAAAGAAACCAGCAGTGTTTAATGAAACAACCCCCTGCCCCTCCAACACACACCAAAACAACCCACTGAAATACAGTATTGAAATCATTCAATGTCTTTTGGAAAACAAGGTAAACATTTAACTGCATTTCTGTTTACGGAAACATTTTGAAACATTATATTCTTCACAAAAGAGGTTTGTATCCTCGAGTTCTTTTTAAACCAACAGTTAAAAACAAACTTCAACTTTATTCTTTGGCTATTAATTATACCTAATAAATGAGTCACTGGTAATCAATTCACAATAAATTTATTTTACATAAAAGAAAAAGCTTGCCATTAATGAAAACTCCAGTAGAAAGCAGTTCTCCTGTTTTAAGTCGGGGCTCAAAAGAAGAAGCTGCTTTTAGTGAAACCTCAGTAGAAAGAGAACTTCGTAAGAAAACATTCTTGGCATAAAAGCTCTAACGTAAAGTCTGTAATGACGTGTTTACCATGCAATTTTATTGGCAGAAAGGCCAGTTTCTGATGGCTGGTATTTTCTTTTCAGTCTCTTAAGACATGGAAGATACTTAAACCTGTTTTATTAAGAGTTAATTGTACATAAATACGGTGTGTCTTTTCATAGTCCACCTATTTAATTGAGCAATTCTAAGTAGGTAATTGGCACCCTGCCCTTCTGGTTCCCCCTTTCCCCCATTAGCCAGTCGGAATCCATTCCAACGACACTGAAAACAGTGATCACCTACAAAGTAAAATACTTCCAGTTATTAACTACATTAAGAAATAAGTATACAGAAAACTAATCAGATTTAACTAGTTTGAATTATAAATTATTCACTATCAAAGAATTTAAACATTATTATCAATTTGATGAAAGAAAGGATTTAATTAGAGATAGTTTTAGAAATCTTAGTTATTGAGCAGTTAAAAGCTCTCAATATTTCTGTGATGTCCTATTTTGCTAAAGATAAAAATTTATAAAATGTTAATATAACCATCTGCAATCTATAAAAACATTCATAATAAATTATTTCCAAATAATTAGGAATTTGCATTTTGTCATACTGGAAGGTAAGTTAATCTATGAGAAAATTTTCTTTTTTTACCCACATTACTTACCTCATCTGCCAGAAGTGATAATTCACTACTGTTTGCAGCATCATAATCATACAGAACCCTGGCCTTCCTGCTGCCACTGCACTCCTTAAGGTCAATGAGGTTGGAAGGAGAGGTGACTAGGCCACTGGCTGAAGTTAAGGCAGAAGAACCGATCACATTTGATGAAGCAGACGGTGCAGGTGCCACAGAAGTCTGGTTGTTGTTACAATGATAATTAGATGGAAAACTGTTGAAAAGAAAGTGGTCAATTATCTATTTCCAAGTGATTAAAGTTCCTGAATACCACCACTTGGTGGCAGTGTAAACCTTCTACCAACCTCCACTTCGGATATAGATTTACAGATGTTACTATTTTAATGACAAAGTGTGCTGTCTAGTTTATCCCTCTTTGGCCAATTACACTAGAGAAAATGCAAGTGGTTTTCAAATATAAAATCCTTGAAAATTTGTTTCAAAGCTGTCTTTACAAGTATAAACTTAAAAAAAATTTTTTTTTAAAACACAATGGCTATTTTTTTCCAGAAAAAAATGAGTTTATCCTTATAACACTTCCAAAAAAGTTTTATTAATATGTTTTATTTTCCCTTTCTTTACAAATTGTTATATAAAAATACCAATAAAAAAACTTACTTAAATGTTAGATACTATCACAAGAGTAAAGTTTTCTCAAGTTAATTCTTTGAGAAATATTTAATAGCCAAACTCTTTCTCATAAAACTGATCCAATCACATTTTCCTGTTCATTCAAATGACAAGTATTTATTGAGCATCACTACCACAAGCTGAAGACATAAAGATGAAACAATACCATTCCTCTATGGACATACAGACAAGTGAGAAGATGGACATTCAAATAATATGTTATGACTGATAGTTAACATAATGAAGACTCAATGGGAGAACAGGGCAAAGTCACAAGCTCATTCTGTCTTCTATTTTTTAGGGGAAAAATAAAAGCTTATTAGAGATTAGTGAAATTCCTATGACCAAGGTGCTTATGTATAAAGATAATTAGAATTTTCAGTTTCTTATAAGGTGAGCGTTTCTCTAATGCTAAATAGAAAACAGCATAAAATGGCTGGCCTATAATCATTCTAATCCAACCATTCCTAAGGTTGAGTATTTCCTATGAAAATTCATATTTAAATTTGAATACACCCATGAGGTAAAATGCCTGGTAGGATGGGTGAAATTCATACCCCTTGGTAAAACAGTTTCCTCCTTTATGACCACTGTGCCATCTGGAAACTAATCATCCAGCAGCACAGTTCGCTTTATCCTTAACCTCTTCCCTACACCTTCCATTCACCCCCTCATGCTTGTGTTTAACTCCCATACTCCTCTTATCATGGAGCCTAGAGATGGATGGTGTAGGAGTTGTACGTTCCTCATTGCCATTCTTACGCTCTTCTCCCTCACCAGTCCTACCCAATCTTTGAATTTCATGTTATTCAACCGTATATTAACTCTCATCTCTTGTTGCAATCATCTACAGATGTCTCATTCTTTCCCCTTTATTTCTAGGCTTTAGCTCCTGGCTCACCGACAGTATATCTTAATTCTTGGTGATCTTAATATCCCTGTGGACGATTCTTCGAACATCTTGAGGGCCCGTCAGATCCCTGAACCCTTCTCTTCTGGTGATTCTGTGCCTGACTCTAGTTCACCCGCCCATTTCCAATGTCTCATATAGACCAGATCAATTCCAAAAACTATAACCCTTACAACAGTCGTAATCTCCAACATCCCACTCTCTGATCATCATCTTTTTTTCCCCAGTACTCTCATTTCAACAAGCCTATCCTGGATCTATGGTCCTACCACAGACCTACCATCTATGGTCCTACCAACATGCCCTTCGTGTCCAAGGTTAATTACCATACTCACCCCCTTTGACATGCCTTTGTATCCTATGCTCTTCACTTCATACTACTCATTTGGTAAAAATCTGCCTAATTACCTACTCAGTATCCATGTATCTATTATGACAGGAAAAAAATACAAAACCACGTTGTCTGGTCTCATATTGGGTAATGAGTAGGAACCTCAAGTGGGTCCACGGCGCTGCCCCACAGTTACACTACACTTCTCTAGTCCGTCTGCTTTCCATTCTCCCGATGACTATTTCATACACTTTTTCATCCATCCTCAAAGTTCCAGCAATTCTCCCCTAGCCTTTAAAATCAGCTGATGAGTTGCTTCCTTTTTAACTGAGAGGAGAAAAAAACAATGAGGAAACTGATTTTTCCATGCTTTTGGTCCTCTCTTCTCTTCCTACAGATGAACTGTCTATGCTCCTAAGGTTAATTTTTCTACCTGTGTACAGAATTTCCTCTCAAGGATATCACATTATCAATTCTTCCCTTCCTTTCCAATATTATACATTCTCCATTTACTGTACCATTCTCAGCAGCTTACAAACACGCTCTTATTTCTCCTGTCTTAAACAAGCACCCAAATGAGCTGGACTCCACTTTCTCCTCAGGCTGCCTGCTCTATGTCCCTGTTCCTCTTTACACTAGAACTCCTTGAGTCTAAACTTACTGTCACAGTTCCTCCCCTTAAACAAGATTTTGCCCCTTCTATTCCACCAAAACTACTCTCAAGGTCAGCAACGACTTCAATGTCCTGAATCCAGTGGTCCACTAAGAGTCCTCATTTCACTTGATCTGTCCAGTGATTGCACTGGATCACTCCCCTCACTCTGTTTATTCCCAGGCCACACACCTGGTTTACATCCTACAGCTCGAAGCTCACCCTCTCCCGCCCCCGTCAGCCGGCTCCTTAGCTGTGCCGCAGCACTTCAGTGCGCAGCCCGTGGCCCCCTTCTTTTCTCTACCTATACTCACTCTTTTGGTACTCTTATCGAGTCTCACAGATTTAAATATCCTTGATACGCTGACGACTCTCTAATTTATATCTCTAATTCACCCTCCAATTCCAAGACTTATATATCCTAAAATTGGGTATCTCCACTTCATACCGCAAACTAAACACGTCTAAAACTGGGCTCCTGGTATACCTGACGTGCCTCCCCAACCCCACTGGCTCTTCCTGTGGCATTCCCCATTTTAATTAACCCAAACTTCATTCTTTCAGTTGCTCAGGCCAAATACTTGCAGTAAATCTTGACACCTCTAAGCCTCATATACAGGAAGTCTATCAGGAAATCCTGCTGTTTTACCTTTAAAATACACCCAGGGTTTGACCGCTTCCAACACATCTACCAGTCACCCTGATCTGAGCCACCATCATCTCCTGACTGGGTTACTGACCAACTTAGTGCAACAGGCTCTGATCAGGTCTGTCAGCTTATACTCATGTGCTCCAACATCTAACCTCAACAGAGCAGCAAGAACGATCTTGTTAAAGGCTAAAATCAAATCATGTCACTCCTCAGCTCAAAACCCTCCAAAGACTTCCTTATCTCTGAGTAAAGGCCAAATTCTAAACAGTGGCTTCCAAAGCCTGCGTATCCTTGCTCCTTGTTTCCTTGATTAACCTGCAGCTAAGCCTTCCTCGCTGCTGCCTGAACACAGCAGCTGTGTTCCTGCTTCAGAGATTTTGTACTTGCTGTACCCTCTCCTAGAGCATCTCTCAGATGCCTGCATGCCTTGCTTCCTCACATCTTCCAAATCTGTTTTCCCTGACTGCTGCAAACCTTTACTCCTAACCAAGATACCTTCCGGCTGTATTTTTCTCCAGAGCATTTATCACCTTCTAATATACTACGTAATTCACACTGATTTTCTACTCCTCTCTACTCCTCAATAGAATGCAGGTTCCATGAAGGCAGGGATTTTATCTATTTTATTTACAGTATATTGATACTTAGAATAGTGCATTCTAAAAAATTAAAAGTAAATGCTTCTCTGATAAATAAAAGGGTTCTAATGATAAAAAGAACTAATTTCTAATTCAAGTTTGACTCTAGAGTTAAGACATTTTCTAGCATCCCTTCCTCAGTGAACTCAGTTCCTCAGCAGTGATTAAATACATACATTTCTGATAAGGGGGGAATAAAACCTCTCTCTCCCCACATACGTGTGTAAATACACACACACATGATTTTTAAAGTCTCTAACCACGGAATTTTACTCTCAGATTTACTAGTGTAATTAGCTTTTGTTTAGCCACGGAGGTCTACCTACACCAGCAACTGCCACAGTTGCTTGATATGTTAATCCTTCCAATTATTTAAAAATGAAATATATTTACTAATCTTATGACTACTGCTTCTGTCTCCTTATCTGTATGTGGATAATAACACCTACCTCAGTGCAGCAAAGACTAGATTCTGTTTGCATGGCTGAGCATATATGTATGTATGACTGAGCATTTGCGTGGCTTTAAGCAGAATGCCAAGAATGCATGGTTCCAACAGCAACCCCTCTGCTGCATGCCTAAAGCATCAGGGCAAAGTGGACAGGAAGTACTAAGGCTTCTTGGGCTTAAAACACTTGCAATGATGTGGGGACAGAGTCGTGTTCTGATTTTAGATATTACCATCAGTAACAAAACTTCAAATACACAGAAGCGTAAATACTTCTGTAAATCCTATTAGGGTCACCAGTGTTAGGCTACAACTCATTTTTAAGATGTAAAATTGGTTTTGTGGATTTGCCTAATTTTGTTCTAGGTCTAGTTTTGAAAGATTAACGTGCAGAAAGGAACATCAAAGTGAAGAAACTTTTTTCTTTGCCTTATTCCTTGAAATAACTTCTTTTGATACACCACCTCCAAATGTTAAGTATCGCTCCCCTGCTCTAATGGTTCCCCACTACATAAATCGCAAACTCCTTACCATACTTACTTTAAAGGGCATTCATGACATATTTCTGCTTCACTATTCTAGCCTCATCCACTGTCCCATTCTTAACTTGAGCACTATAAGCCAACCAGAATGAACTACTGTCAGTTCCCTGAATTGCCACTCTCTCTCCTTCCTCTGGCCC